GCCACTCACAGATATTTAATACTGTATTGAATCATTTTCTTCAATAAATAAATAAATGATAAAGTATAATATTTTTATCTCATTTGTTTATCCTCTTTATCTACTTTTAGGACTTGAGTGAAAATCTGATGATGTTTAGGTCATATTTATGCAGAAATATAGAAAATTATAAAGGCTTCACAAACTTTCAAACAACTCCATCCATCTAATCTATGTAACAATCTTCTTGGACAATCCTTATAACTAACGCTACATTTGTTTTTTACCTCTCCTGCTACAGTGTTGGAGCTTTCTTAGCTCAATGTAGTCTCGAAGTATTAGGAGATTTCCGAGGACCTCAGAAAGAGTTGTTGATGCTCATCAGGCTGGAAACGGCTACAAATAATATACAAGTGATTCACTCATTAATACAGACTGATTGACTAACACTCCTCGAGCACAGTTTAAACTGTTGGCATTGCTAAAGTTCACACTGCCACACTTTCAACATCGTCTGCATTTTCTTTTTTTCAAACATGCAGGATAAAATAGACCTGTCTGTTATCAGTCTTACATCCTAGATTTTCTTCTGAACATTTGTAGAACTCTGTCAAACTCTAAAAAACAACAAAGCAGAATATATTCTATGTAAATACAAGTATATAAAGATTTAGGCAAATACTTGATTTCAAATAACTGTTTCCCAGCTTCTAGCTCCCAGACTGCCTTTAAAATGTTTATTAAGTCGAGGGTTTCAACCTTTTGTTTATTTAACTTCCTTTAGTCTTCTGCTCGACAAACGTTTGAGGACCGAATGCAAGAACCAAGGAGCCAACATTCCCTGGCCTGCCTCCAATCGTTACGAGACTCTACTGAAGCAACGCCACGTCCAGGTGATTCATGTACCCTTTATGAATTTATGTGTTGCATTATGCATTGTTTCTCAGTCTAAATGAGCTTGTCTTTACTTTTATTTTACTATTTTTTTATAGCTTCTGGGTCGCTCCATTGATCTAAACCGACTCATCACTCAGAGAGTTTCTGCAGCTCTTCAAAAATCTCTGGAGCTTGCAATCAACCGGTTTGAGAGTGAGGATCTCACCTCAGTCATGGTATGTTTTTTATGTTTAACATCTGCATCTTCATTTGTGTGCTGCTGGGAAAGATGTTGATTTGTATTCCTTGGCCAAAGGAACTGGAGGGCCTTCTGGAGATCAACCGCATGACGCACAAACTCCTCAGTAAGTTTGTGACTCTGGACAGCTTCAGTGCCATGTTCCGCGAGGCCAACCACAACGTGTCTGCCCCGTATGGCAGGATAACACTCCATGTCTTCTGGGAACTCAACTATGATTTCCTGCCCAACTACTGCTACAATGGTTCCACTAACAGGTTGGTTAGCTTGGACATCTTTCAGTGTAGTAACTGTTTATGCAAGTGGTTATCTAACTAGCCAGTTTATGCTAATTGTCCCCTGTCCCAGAGCAAAACGGGCAATTGGAAATACCCTCTGTCCATGAATGTTATAAGCGCAATGATAACAAATAGGTGTGGAAGTGACTTCCAGTTTGGTGTGTGACTGTATCTAGGTATAAGAAAGTTTGTAACGAAAACTGGGACTCCGTGTCCAAATCCAAGATGGCCTCTGCAATATATACCGTAATTTCTGGACTATAACCCGCTACTTTTTTCACACGCTTTCAACACTGAAGCTTATACAATGCTGCAGCTATTTTTTTTTTTGACGGGCTAACGAGCTTCATGCTGTCAAAACATTTAGCCTCGTCACACCCAGGCACTCGCATAGCTGCCCAATACACGTCTCTCTTGGGGAAGGGTTGGTGGGGTCCTTGCTACTCTGTAAGGACCAAAATTAATATCTCCATATTTTAAAATGAATGGCGATATACAACTTAATAATAATAATAACTTTTATTTATAGCCCACTTTACATTCACAATAGATCTTAAAGTGCTAATATATATATATATGTGTATATATATATATATATATATATATATATGTGTGTATATATATATATATATATAT